TCATATATTTATATTTTGACCGAGTATGATAGGTATATGAATATTAGGCTCATTGGGTAAGTCATAATTAATCATGCATATTAGGTTCGAGAAAAAGTTAATTTGGATAAACGAGACCCAAGTTATGAAGTCGAAAGTTATTGTCTTAAATTATTAATTAATTACATTAGAGTTACACTATAATGAGAAAACGTGGACTACGATGTGGGATAGTGTGTCAGTTGATTCTATTCTTTTTTTTTTTATAATATTTAATTGCCTTAATTTTGGGAAATTGGTAATAATAGCCACTTTGTTTGATTGATGGGAAAGGAATGAACTTTAAATCGTATGGATTACCAAGATTGAGACTTTTTGGAAGGAAACACGGTATTTGATGAATTTTTTAGGCTATTCTTCCTCTTTCAACCTTAAATACCATATTAAGGAAATCATTATTTACCCCAAAAAGGAAAAGAAAATAAAGGAAAAAAAAAAAGAGAAGGTATAGGTACGGGATACTGTAGCAGAAAGCAAAAATTTGAAGATTTGGGAAACGTGAATTCGTTGCTTTTCTTCCAACAATCCTTTTATTGATCAAGGTAGGAGTACGAGGTGCAAGTGGTTTGTCCTGTTTAAATTATTTCTTCATGTTGATAAATATTATGCTTATGAAAGTAATGATATGATATGATATGATATAATTATGATATGATATAAAATGGTCATTCGGTACCCAAGATATGATATGCTATGAGTTCTTACCGGTTCTAAAGATATGATACGAGGGTATGATATTTTTTACGCATGATTTAATATTTTTATGCGGGATCGCACCATTATTCATATCCTACTAAGTATTTCCATGTACTCATCATTTTTCCTACCTCTTACGGATTAGATCAGGTCGTTGGATGGTGGGCGATGAAGTGTAGTCGTAGTGCCAAGATTTATGGAACTCAATAAAATTAATCCGGTGTAACAACGCATTTTTTTTAAATTTCAGTAATTTCTTAGTTTTGTCTCGCAAAGATTTTTGTTTAAAATTTCAAGATATGTTTATTTGATTATAAATTTAAAACTTTGTTATGCGCTATTTGGTGATGCTAACATTTATTTATTTATCTAATTTATGTGATATGCACTTTAGTATTCTTTTGATTATGGGTTTTCATCAATTAAATTGTACCCGTTAAATTTCATATATTTATCATGTTAAAGTTAATAGTTTTGGTAGCAATTCGAAAATTAAATTTTGGATTGTTACAGTTTGATATCAGAGCTTTAGGTTTAATTTCCTGTAGACTAGTATATTTTTCATAACTTAAAAAAAAAAAATACCGTGCACGTCATAGTTCACTGTTGTGAACAGTGACGGTGAACTGTGACCATCACTATTGTGAACAATGACGGGCAACTGTTTGTCACTGAGAATAAAAAAATCATGTGGACCAAACAGGACCTAAATGGTGAACTATTTTAAATGGAATATATCAAATGATTGTTATTATATATGAATATTTATGTGAGAATTAGATTAATTTAAATCATTATGTGAAATAAGTACTTATTTGTTTAATCTAATTTGCATGATATTTGTGTGTGTGTGTGTGTGTGTAATACGTACGTGGACAATGTTATATAAATATTGGACATTCATGTTCTAATGTTACGTGTAATAAGATGTTTATTTGCTTAGTCATTTTCATGTTTAATGTTTGTTAAAAATTTACATTTCTTTGAAGATTTATGAACTTAATAATAATGACAAATTAAAATTATTAAATATGTGATTGATCGTTGCCACTCAATGACCATCAACCGACCCCTCTCCGACGACTCTGAGGTATGTAAATGGTAAGGAGAAGAATTTATTTAAATCTTTTGCATAACTTAAATATTTTGAAATGTCTACATTTAAATTCTTAAGACATGCAGTTTGTTTCCTAGCTCAATTTATGATAAGTATTACAATAATATAGGTAAAACATGTTAGACTTAGTACTAGTATCCCCTGACTTTAAATTAAATTCTTTAGAAAATGGCACCATCTATCCACACAAATTTGATGCGCGATTTGTTGCAAGTGGTATAAGAGTTAAGCAGATAGAAACAAGCGCCTTCACGACAAAATGCGCCACCACCATCGCAAAGCGCATCTCCGTCTGTACCTGGTGCTATTTCAATGGTTGAGCAGTTTCGTAAGTACAAGCCTCCTACTTTCGACAGTGGTTCCGACCCACTGGCTGTTGAGGAATGGATTAGAGGTCTGGAGCGTATCTTTTGACACATTGATTGTATGGATGCACAGAAGGTACTATGCGCAGAATTCATGTTAATTGGAGTAGCAGCAGTTTCGTAAGTACAAGCCTCCTACTTTCGACAGTGGTTCCGACCCACTGGCTGTTGAGGAATGGATTAGAGGTCTGGAGCGTATCTTTTGACACATTGATTGTATGGATGCACAGAAGGTACTATGCGCAGAATTCATGTTAATTGGAGTAGCAGCAGTTTCGTAAGTACAAGCCTCCTACTTTCGA